CCCCAAAACCCCAAAACCCCAAAACCCCACAAGCAAAAGTATGATATAAATTGATGAAAAATTAAACTTAGTAATGTTTATGTGTAAATTCTTTTAGTATTTCACTTTAATAGCAAGTTCAATTTAGCAGTAGACTTCCCTTAGAATTAAATCCAGATTAACCGTAAGAGGATGTTTTAGGAGAAATTATTACAGGCTTTATCTTTGAACCTTGAAGTCCTTGACTCTATTAGAATGCTCCAAGCATTCGGCGGCGGTTAGCTAAGTTTATCTTTTCTAAATTTTCTTTTGTGTATCTATCATCGAACTATTATTCACTTTCTGAGTAATTTCTTTGCTTCTTGCAAGCTCTCAGTCCCTTAGGCAAGGAATATTTATTTATCAGATACTGGTTATATTCCTCTGGTTAAGGTACAAGTTAATGAGCTTAGTTGAATTCTTAATATGCCTAGGTTATCTTTTAGACAATCTGTTTTTGACTTTACTATTACTGCATTTTATGGAATGTCTTTTGATTTATATAATTCATTATATCAGTTTCATCAGGTCCATTTATAAGACTAGTCAATTTATAGTGAGATTAGATATTCTTGTAATTTGGATTCACAGAGGTCCTCGGTCTATTTATGTCATTCAACAAATTCTTGCTTGAATTTGATTTTTAAGTATGATAATTTGAAGGTACATTTACTCCTGTTGAAAGATCCTTAGTTTATTTTTTATTAGTTGCTGTCTTTAAAATTGTTCTTTAATCATTTATAACATCATATAAGCTTTTTTCTTCTTTCTTTACCAACTTATCTTATATAAGATGATTGTACTCACTGATCCTTCCTTAAACAATATATTCTTTGGTATTCGGTTTTGTAGCAGCAGGAATATAACCATCATCTTCATCATCTGTTTTAATTATGTTATCATGAGTAGAGAGTTTAATCTCTTAAAACTGTTTGGGTCTATTGATAATCTTCGCTGATTTGATCTTTGACAAAACTCTTCTAGATTACTACTCTTTTTCTGGAACTGTAACTGGAATGGGTACTTTTCTTGACAATATTCCTATTTTACCATCGGTAATTCCAAGATATTTGACTGCAACCGTATTCACCTTAATATCATTTGAGGGAATACCATCTTCACTGAGGTGCTACCTTACTTCATTCTCATAAAGTTTATTTAGCTCTTTTTCCTGTTGTAATTAGTGAAGTTTATCCTCTCTAGTTCTCACTAAATTTTAATAGGTTGGCACGGTCATGATCTTTTTCCGATTGAATTAATGGCGTTCTTAACCATTTACACCACCAATTCCCTATGTTTAAGGTCTTAGATTGGCAACGCTGCTCATTTATAATCCTCCTCCACTCAATACAGATTACTATTCACTTAAAAACTTTTGACTATTAGCAGAATTCAACCTTGATGACTTAACTATATTCTCATATTTTCAAAGTAAGATTGCTTACATCTTGACTAACTACCTGAAATCTTAGGCATATTCACAATAACTTGATAAGTATGTTCATTATCAAAGTCCAAGTTTTCTTTTTTCAATTGCTCCTTGATGTCGTGCTTAAATTTCTCAGGTATAGATGAAAACCAATTGATCTTTTTATAGTCATGCTAAAATAATTTAGAATCATTTAAATCTTCAAATTTACCTGTGTCTTTAAGAAAATTTCCATTTAAAATAAAGCTTTTAATATTGATAAATATTTTATCTAAACTTTATTTATCCAAGATTAATAATATATGCTAGCTCTTGGGGTTTTGGGGTTTTGGGGTTTTGGGGTTTTGGGGTTTGGGGGTTTTGGGGTTT